ACCTGAAGAAGTTACTTAGTCTTAAGAGAAGCTTTCCCTAGATTTAGTTTTAAGAGTCAGTATTATTTTCCCTCTGGAATTTCCCAGACGGCAAAAACACTCCCCCAAAAGGCTAAGTGACAATTAAGCAAATTTCTCCTTTAGATATGAAGAAGTTTAAGACACATAAATGGATTCATAATTCCAATCCATACTATTGCACTTCTGACACAAAGTTTGTGGAACAGAAACAGGTCTTAGAAGGAATTTAGATTTCAGATCTTCCCTCTTTCAAGAAGCTTGTATTAGTTTTGGGGGTGAGGGGGCATTTCATTTATGAATATATAAATAAAAACATCAGTGGAGTTAAAAATAAAGGTAGAATTAGTTTTGTAGTTTCATCTCCTTAAAACAAATCACAGATCTGTTTATACAAATGGAGAAACTGAGTCACGAAGGCAAACTGACTCATTAAAACTCATACAGGAAAACTCTGGAAGATCTCTAAATTCCCAAGAGGTTCTTAGTGCATAAAATAAACTGCAGAATTTTAAAATTAGTATTTTTGGGGTTATTTTATCACCCTCCCCCAAACACTTTTTGTAAAGTGTACAAGGTTATATTCCTCAAATTGTCACTCAGATGTCTACTTGAGAACGTGACAGAAGCCATGAAGAGCTGCAGACTGTACAGCATCAAGAACAGGAGCTTTCAACTGAAGACAAGGAAAGAAAAAGGCAAAAGGTTTCCATAAAGGCCCATATACTCCTTGTCTTTTTCATGTACTTTTAATAGAGAGAATAAGACATGGCTTAGAAGAAAAAGTTGTATTTATATAAATACAAACATGATGGAAGCATACATTACTGGAGAATTAATGAAATCACTCAGCCTTTGGCCTCAAAACACACTAAAAGCATGCATTCACAATACCCTAAAAGTCTATCTTACTGGTCAACTTCAAGTATACCTTAAATCCTTTATCAGTGCTTCTAAATGATATTCAAATTAAAATGCATCAGAGATTGAAGATAGCTTTGCCACTTCAATACCTCACTTTTGATTTCTTAAATCCAGAAGGTTCTAAAGCTGTACCGGAATAGGAATTCATCTCTCATTAATTTAAAGAACAAGATTAAAGACAGGCATTAAAGAAAAGGTGAAAATTTATTTTTGGTTATTGTTGCTTAAAACATAAAATTTGCAGCTGCTATAGTATGTATCAGAGTACACTACAACTACCAAATAATGAATCCTTGTGACCTCCCTTCCCCCCACTCAAACATATTTATAGTGGTGATACTAAATGGTTCATATTTCATTTAGGAAAAAAATTAGACGTTACGAATCGCACCTTCCCTCAATACTCGTATGTGTATTATCACATACACAATTTATAGAGCAATAGATGAAATAAATTGAAAAATGTAACGCCAAAATTACATGGCAGCAGAAGAAATTCTGTGTCTTTAAATAAAAAGTAACAGGTTATAATCTCGCGTGCATTATTCCCTTAAATTCATTCTGTATTCTCTACCTATGAATACATGGAATTACTACACCAATGTCCAGTGAAGGTATTTCCTGGAAGATGAACATGACGTTCACAAATGCGTTTCCACAAAGAATTTAGCTGACTGTCTTAGCGATCGCAATCCACGACCGGCGTTGATAAATATTCCTGATTTTGTGTCGTTAGTAGGACAGACAGCTGTACGGCATCGATCACAAACGCAGGAGCCTTTCCAATCTACTGAACCGACACACAGATTACCTTACAGCACCACATACACACCCCTCGCAGGAGCTGCTCGAGTCTGTGCCTCTTTCCACCCCCCTTCTCCCCGACAAGAGTGGTCTCGTTCACTTGCCTTTCACACACATAACCAATAAAATTAATCAGCTGGAACACAGCATTTTTAAATCGCAGTAAAGCCAAGAGCTGTTTTGTACGTTATTTGAAGGGAACAGCCTTTTCATTTTAACATAGTAAGACACTAATATGCTGCAGACAAACGCACTGCATGGGGTGTGGAGGACCCGAGCTGATTAGATTACCACAACATCAGCCTGAGGCCGCCATTTTTAGAATCTCTAAAGGACAAAAGAGGGAAATTAATAAATTTGCTCCACATTTTTTAAAAACTAACTTCAAAAGTATAGTGATAATAACCAATTAATCACGCATTGCAAGTACTGCCAGGGATATCTGCTGGTGTTCTCTGATCTGAACCCTGAGTAACAAAAATGCTTCGTTATTATTCCTTTAAGCTACTGTAAATAAACAGACTAAAACATTCGTAAATCTAGATGCAGCAGTGAACTTCTGCTTTTGACGACACGTAGTATGTAGCATTTTAGGGACCTCAGGGCTTTCAGGCACCGCACACTCCCTAACAGCCGAGTATGGGGGAATCAGGACCTTTATAATCAGGCTGTATTATGTTTCTCTCCCCTATTTAGTAGTACACAGTGAACCGTTTGTTTCTCTTCCCCGGTGTCTGCAGCAATACGGTCGAACCCACCACCACTTACTGCTTCAGGAAAGAGAATGAAATATGCCACCCAGGGAACACGAACACTGCCTGCAGAAACTAAAGCAAGAAAGGGGTGCACCAGTCTAACTACTCACAGCCTGGAGAAAGGGGGTGGGGAGAATGATCCCCTTTTAAATTGGCACAGAAACTCCTGGGGACAGCTCTCCGTTTGTCCAGGTTACACCACGAAGCGGAGATATTAACAGGGAGGCAGGCAGGGAGGCGGGGGTGTGGAAGGCAAAGAGATTAGGCCTATAACGAGCCATTTTAGTACCACAAAGCAAAAATATACAGGATGGAGGAAAAGAATAGGCTTCCCCAAGCTTCGTAAAACTCAATACGCAGTCCCAATAACGCACAAACCCGTTCTGAAAACCGCCAGCCCAAGGAAGCCTATGTTGTCACATAATAGCTCCTTTTGGCTCATTTTCCGAGCATAATGCATAAATCTGGCGTAACTGCCAAAAAATTCTCCTCAGCTCCTCCAGTTACAGTAACCCGCCATATTCATAAGATATAGCGACAGCCTGCCATTTTTTAACCAAACCCCACAAAAGGAAAAGCAAATTCCAGGCAACTTAAACAGAAATTAAACACATTTCAGGGTAGGAAGGAGTTATACTCGCACCGAAGGTAATGAGACATTCCCGTCGCATTTCACTCCCTTTTTCCACCCCCCCCTCCCCCAAAGCACCCACAGCAGAATATGCTGGTAATAACCAAAGACTCACCTGTAATGGTCACAGGCCAGGCAACAGGACCCCTCAGCTGAGCCCCTTCTCTATCCCAACCAAAACAATGCAACAGTCCCACTGCGGATATCCCTACCCTAGGCAGGACTCAGCCCTCAGCAGGCTCTAGTAAAAGAAAGGGAAAGAGGAAACCCCCCCCTCCCCCCAAACCTAGCTCAGTGCGCAGAACCCTACAGGGACCAGCTCAAAGGCGCCTTTGCCCTGGGACCTGTGTACAAACCCCGCTGCTGCCGCCGCTGCTGCCGTGCCTCCCTCCCTCCAGCCTCCTACGCTCCCTTCTATGTCACTGCCTCTCTCTGGGAAAATGGCGTCCGCTCTCCCCTCCCTCCCCCTGCACGGGGCTCACCCGCCCCGCCTGACAGGGGCAGGGTTACCAAGGCGAAGCCAAACAGCCGCCATTTTGCTTACGGGCCGGGCGTGCAGCCCGCGCCCGCCGAGCCCTCAGAGTCCATTTTGCAACACGCAGAACGGCTCCGGGGTCTGGGCGCGGTCGCGGCACCAGACTGCGGCAGGGGCTGGGCAGGGGGGCCGTGAGGAGGGAAGTAGGGCAGCGGAGGAGGGGCGGCGGCAGCGGGGGCTGGCGCCGGGGGCGATCCGCAGCCCCGGCGGCGCAGCCCGCGCGGGAGGGGCGGGGGCTCCGTCCCGGCCTGTTGTGGGGCCGAGCGCGGGCGGGAGCGAGGGTGTCTGAGTCAGAGCTGCATCCTCGGAGGAATAAACGCCAAAACTCCCTCCTCGGCCGCTCTCACACCCCCAACCTCCGGCTTCTTCCTCACGACCGTCGATGCTGTCAGCATACGTGTTCTTTATGAATCTTTAACAGCACATTTTCGGCCTAAGCTGCGCGAAAAGCCGGGCAGACCCGCCGGATCTCACACACGCAGAAGAACTACCTGAGGGGAGGGGAAGAGGGGAGCGAGAAAGGAGCGGGAATTTTTGCAGACCTGCTCAGGAGGTTTTGACTGAAACTTTCAGTAAGACACTCGAGGCTGAGACTCTTCCCCGAAGCTTTTAGGACTCAAAGGCAAGTGGGAGAAAGCTTCTTTCCTTAGAGCGAGTGCAACAGCACTCGCCGAAGGCATTTCTGTTCTGCAGGGAATGAGACAAGCAGCGAACGAGCCTCGTTTGCCCGTTAGGGAACGGCGCTCGGGGAGTAGGAATGGCGCGCTTCCATCCAGACCAGCGGGCGCTGCCAATGCCAGGAGCTCGCTCAGCCTTTCAGGGCAGGCACAGCTCCGGCCATTCGTACGCAGCCCGTCTTGCTAACCACCATATCTCCTCCCAGCTCCCGCTGTACCCCTACGCCGCCCTGCCTGCCCTGCCCGGCTTCAGCCCCTCCAGCGATACGGCTGATGGAGGGAGGGGAGGCGGCGGCTGGGGTTTCGTTCGACGCCCACCAGGGGCTGAGCGAGCCTTCTTCAGTGCGCAAACTCGGGGCACCAGATAAAAGCTGGGCTGGCAGCTCTTACCCTGCCTCGATGGAGCCGCCACTTGCGGGTGACTGGAGAAGCAGTTAGCAGCAGCGCCATAGACTAGCGTCCCCCCACACCTTGGGCACAGAGAGTTTGGGGCTCTAAACAGCTGCTGCTGCGGCAGGAGGGAGCCGAGGTGAAGGGATCTGCTAGCTGGTTGGACGCAAAGGAGGCGGCTGTAATGGGGCATTAAGTCTGAGGGAGGAGGGGGGGCGATTAAACCTCTTGTGATCATGGCGGAGTCTATGGGTATTTTTTTTTCCTGTCTAACTCTTCTGTGCGTGTGTCTCTTGTTTCTTTCTCTCTCTCTCCTTAGGGCGCTTGGCTGGGGCTGCTCGCTCGGGTTCTGCCTGTTGTTGCGCGAAATGGCGGCTGGCGTCTTGGTGGGTTTGGTTGTCGGTTTTTTGTGTAGGGTTTTTTTTTTTTTTCCCTTCCCCTCCTATTCCCCTCCCCGCACTTGTGCCTTGGCTGCGGCTCCGCAGCGAACCGCGGCGGAGCCCGAGTCAGGAGGGGGGCGGGAGCGGCGCGGCAGCCAATGGCCGGGCCGGCCCGGGTGGCCCGGCGCGCCCTGATTGGCTGGCGCTGACATCATCCTGCAGCAGGGGCAGCCGCAGCTGGGCAGGGTCGGGAGCTGCCGGGGGAGGCAAAGGGAGAAAACGGGCGCCATGATCTCAGCGCTAGGGAAGACTCCGCGGGCAGGGCGTCCCCGAAGAGCTGGCGAAAAGAAAAGCGGGACCAGGCCTGGGCTTCTCCTTCCCGAATAGTGCCGGGGCTGTGCTGAGAGGAGCGGGAAACGAGCGAGAGGGGAGCAACTCCTGCCTGCCTTTGTAACTGCGTCAGTACAAGATGGCGCAGGGTGTCCCTGGAGAGGGAAGGGAGTTGCACGTCCGCCGGAGGTCATGTGACCGCGTTGCATTCCTGTGGGGTTTGGCTGCGGACCAAGCTGGCTTAGGCGGCGGCGGCGGCTGCCCGGGAGAGCCCGGGCTTCCCTCCCCCTCCTCCTGCACAACGTCGTCGGTCCCGCGCTGGTTCCCTTCCCCCACCAGCCTTATGCACGAGGGTGTAGCTGCTGCCGAGGAAGGTTCTCGCTTCTCTCTTTACTCTCCACCCACCTCCAGGGTGTAGCTCCTCTTGGGGGAAGCTTTCCATTCCGCCCCCTCTCTGCGCAAGGCTTTCTTTACCCACCGCCAGGGAAAGTTCCCCCTGGGTGCCTGCCGGCTCCGCCCGGGCGTGGGAGCCGGCTGCGCTCACGGTAGTGCCGCCCGCTCGGTGCTGCTCGAAGTTAAGTTGCAGGGGGTTATGGAGTGGTTCTTACTGGAACAGTCGTTTTAAGCGATGTCTAAATGACCTCATTAAAGCCGCTGAGGAAGACGTACAGGCCATGCGGAGTTGTTGTGACGAGGAGGTCTTGGCTGTTCTAGTGTTCTCTGCCGGGGGTGGGGGGGCAAGGGAAGATCTCTCAGGTGTTTATGACTTTATTCTGTTTGAACAGGAAAAGTGGATCGCTGTTCTTTGTGTGCTGTTGAATCCTATTGCAGGAATTGAGCAGCTGTCTGTGGAGCGACAGGCCGCAGACGGCCTGCATCCTTAACAGGGGGATTGATGTATGTACTTAGTGCAAATGAAAAATACGGTCTGAAAATATTGTGAGGACTCCCCATGTTTTACTTTGAGGACCATAGGCACATGAACTCGTTGCATAGGCCTGAAAGGTTGGCAAATATATTTTCCAGGTCTTTTAAAAAAAATTCAATATTTGCTGGATGGGAAGTGAAAAATATATGTTTTCCAATCCTAACTCTTTTCTTTAAGGAATGCAACTCCTATTGCTGTTTAGTTGAGCTTCTCATATTTTCAAAGCAATTCATTGCTAGTTCCCATGTCTTGTTCGTGTATGCCACCATGTAAATTTAGCCACGGTATCTAACCCAATGAACAAATTAACAGCTAAAAGTTGTTGATCATTTAAGGGTGTTGGTTTTTTCTGTTTGGAAATGTTTCATTTTTTCTATTCTTAGTCTGTTCCTGGATAGATAGGATTTTTTTCTTTTTACCTCCACAGTAGCAACCTGATAAAAAAGCTTGACTATTTCACAAATGTGCTGTTTGAGAGCTGGAATGAAAGTAACTGAGTGTGTGACTAATAGAGAAGATTTCTGTATAATAGCTGCTCTTTAATATATGTTACATAAGTAGTATGGTGAGGTGGAGTTCAGTTATATAAGAACTGACTGGGGACTTGGGAGCTACTGTAAGTAGTTCATATTGGTCGCATATAGAGCCTGCAGGGCATCCCTGTGTTGTGGGAGGAGGGGTAGAAAAACAGGATTGGAAGCATCTAACAGCACTACATTTTTCCTTTGTAGGTTTATAGAGGATACCAGGAAGGAAAGGGAGAAGGCAGTAATTAGGGATGGCAGTGTAAAGCTTTCAGACGTCTGTAGTCTCATTTGAGCTTAGGTTTTAGGGTGTAAGCTCTGTTTTCTAAAAGAGCAGTCTCCCCTCTTTTGGGTGTCAGCCAGCTGAGCATTGTGCCAGCTGACTTCTGTGTAGACTCTAAAGAGCAAGATTCTTGAGTCCTAGAGATTGTGAGGCTGTGCCTATTTTTTTGTTACCAAAAAAAATCAGCCTACTGAAAATGGTGTTAGGACGAGGCAGTTGGTTTGTTGATCAAACGTTAAAATGACTGGATTACTGATTCTTCTTGTGTAGGCATCATATGACACAAGGTAAATACTCCTTTGTAATGGAAGCTTCCAGAGAGGCTTTCAGTGTACAGTGATTCTTTTAACAGAGCACTGATTTATGTGGGACTTGACATTGTGAATACTTCGTTGCAGATATGTTAAAGGGAGAACATTAATTTCAACTAAAGATGAGGGGAAGAAACATTTTATTGGGCATGTGTTCTGTAATTATGAAACAGTAATTGCTTGTCTCACTGTGAAGGAATTGTTTGAATGCTTATGTTATAGAATAGTTTATGTAGAAAATCAGCTAGAATTCTAATTCTTAAAGCAGCCTTTTAGGTAGCTCACTTTGATAACAGATTTTGCTTGAAAAGCAAGAAATAAATTACTTCAAAAGTCCTCTGTGTAACTTTCAGCTTATTGCAGCAGTACCTGAACAGAGGTGTGGCTGTGCTTCTATGAATCTATAGAAATGAAGGCAAGTTTTAATGAGCTGGTAGTAATTTCTTGTTTGTTGCAAGGTTGTTTTTATTAGCAGTTCTCAGGAAAGCAGTTATTTTGAAAGAAGCAGTAGCTCTGGTAGTGTTGCAGTGCACTCTCAAAACTGTCCTATGTATTCTGAATTATTTGTGCTGCAGGAGATAGACACATTTTGGTTTTAGTTATTTCGTTGAGATGGGGCGTTTGTCCTACAGCCATTCTGATGGAAGCTGTTTTCATCTCGAAGGGAAGAAAAGAGTGTAGGAGAGGGAGGCTGGGAAAAAATGGTGTGTAGTTTACATTTATGGTAGCTTACCAGGGGAAAGAACAATTTCTACAGAACTGCAATTAGTTCCTTAACGAGGCTGCTTCAGTGGGCTGGCGGCTCTCCAGCAGTCAGACTCGTGGCTCTGACCTGCCCTGGTAGCCTGTCTGTGCACGCATGTGTGGCCCGAGCCCTTGCTAAGAGCTGTTATTTAAACAGTTGTTTACCTTCAGCCATACAAAGGGACTGACAGGAGTTCAAGGGTATTTAGGGGAGAAAGGAGAGAGATACTAACAGTGTAATAGATCCGACTGTGCATTAATGTCATGGTTGAGACAGTTAAAAGTGCTCATGCTGAAAGATGATCCTGCACTTCTTCAGCTGTTCATTCTTGCGTCTGCAAGTGATCATGGGGGAAGTAGAAGTGAAGAATGGATGAAACATAAGCCTAATAGTAATGGATGGTTTTCTAATGTGACTCTTCATTGTGTGGCTTGACAAACATTCCTGTCTGAATGGGAGCAGAACGAAGCACCTGCTGGGAAAATGGAGATATGCAGGTTTTAATTGTGAGTGAAGTTAGGGATGCTTTTTCTCAGGAAAGCTACAGTTATTAAGGAGTTTCGAGGAGCACCTCTTAAAGGCTTTTGGCTAGTGTAACTAGAATCACTGAGCCAGGCACTCAAAAAAAAAAACAACCAAAATTCCAAACTTTGAGTTTATAAGTCATTGCTACATTGACCTTCATTTGCAGGTAGCAAGAGCACTCCAGCTTCACTGAGTTGGTACCTGTAAAATTAAGTAAAGTGTTATTCTCAGCTACAGGCTAGTTAAGTGTTTCTAGGATTTGAGATTTAAGTTTATTTTGTTGGAACAGGATAAAATTTGAAATAAGCTTGCTTAATCCAGAAGTGGTTGATAATCTAATAGCTGGGGTATTCAGTGAAGAATTACTCTTACGGGATGAGTTCTTAGGTAATCATAAAAAGTGATGCCTGTGGGTTACTAGCAGTCACTAGCCAAATGATTTTGCATTATTTGCATGAGGAAAAGGAGTTCTAGTGACTGACTGCTGATCAATTTATCCACCTGGATTTGGATAGACTGTGTTCAATGCTCAGACAGCAGCAGGACAAGAACTTCCTTTGCACATTGCTTTAGGCTTTGTGTTACAATGAATCTTTCTGAAAAAGTTTCTGAGATTAATAAGGTTTTGCTGTAGCAGGAAAATAGGTTGTTGGCTGATTTACAATTCTTAACAGTTGAGTTCCTCACTTAAAGAAGCAACCTTAAAGCTGTGATGTGGCCTCCTAATCCTGGAATTAGTGGGAATTTGTACCAGGTTCACTGCTGTGACCTCTGTGTAGTGAAGTGGGGCACTGGATTGTTTTCTGCTTCCAGCATGACCTTGTTACTTGCCGTCTTTCTGATGAGCTACTAGTTGTTTTGGAGAGCAGTATTAATCTCCAAGTAGCTACTTTCAGAAGTGAGGTTATGCTCAGACATGATCATAATGCAGCACTAGCCCTGAAATGCTGTCAATAGCAGTTCTTTGATGAAAACAACCAGTGATCGAATGGCCCATAGGCAGTTTATGCAATATGGTGCATTTTGAGGATCTTTAGGAAGAAAATGGGGGACAATACTGCCAGTTTGGAGACTTGGACTGTGCCAGAGTTGGGAAATTACTGAACCAGAGATTCTGGCATCCCATAAGTACAGCTGAAGGTGGTCCTGTCACAGAAGGCAAGAGTTTGTGTTCCTTGTAAGCTCGGAAACCTTGTAAGCAAATCTTAGCTGCTGGTTTTTTGTGCTTATTAAGTGTCGGGAAAAGAAAGTGAATCAAAACTTCTTGCCGTGACTGTTCCATCTGTGAGTTTGTTAATGTGGCATGGTCATGCAGTAGATGTTACTCAAAAGTAGAAAAGCAGCAGCTTTATTGCAGCAGTGTATCTTGTCTCTTCAAAGGTTTAGCTTGTGAAGACTGCTGCAGTCCTACTCAGTGTGGTCTGTTACAACGCAAAACAGAAATACCCAACAGGCTAGGGAGCTGGGGCTTTTCAACACAGAAAAGAGAAGGAGAAACCTTATTACAGCCTTCCTGTGTTTAAAGGTGGCTTATGAAAAACAGAGTGACTTTTTACATGGGCAGGTACAGACGAACCAAATACAAGTCCAAAACTAGTGATAGGAGATGGATTTAAACTAAAAGATGAGCGATTTAGATTGGATGTTAGGAAGGGGTGATTAGAAGATAGTGAGGCATAAGAATAGGTTGTCCAGAGAAGTTGTGGATGTCCCTGTTCTGAAAGTGCTCAGGTGCAGATTGGATGGGGCCCTGAACAGCCTGGTCAAGTTGAGTTGTCCATGCCCATGGCAGGAGCTAGGAGCTTGATGAGCTTGAAAGTGCCTTCCACCCCAAAGCATTCTATGGTCTCTGGCAGTAGAAAGGTGCACTAAGAATGGGTACCTTTTGACATTGAGTATCACTGGTTATAGTAATGGATTTGTTTCCAGCAAGCTTCAGTAGATTGGTAAATAGTGAATAATTTATTTTAGTATTTTATGGACCAAGTTAGTATCTTTCTGTCCAGTTGGCTGTCATATATGGATTTTTTGATAGCTGTTTGATCCATTGCTAGTACAGCTGCTATAGATGAACCAAATACAAGTCCAGAATTAGCTTGTGTGGCAGATTTGAGATGTTAGAACTAGTGTGGAGGGCACAAGAACTTTAGCTGAAGAGGTAGCTGGGAAAGAAGCATTAGCATCCACTTCTTGTGCTAAACTCCCTCCTTCCACATTCCTGCCTTTACTTAGCAGTTAGTCATGACACAGGACTGTCATATGATTCCCTGAATTTTACTGAAGTAAGGTAAAAAAATGTGGAGGTACAGAACTGTGCCACTTTTTTAATAATCCCTCAGACTGTGGCTAGTCGTGATACTGAGATAGCAATTTAATCTCTAGTCTAAGAAGTGCTTTACCAGCTTTATTCCCTGGTATGTGCTAAGCAGTGGTTGTGCCACTTCATTTTGGGCCACTGTGTTTGTGGCCCAGTTTGTCAGGCTGATGATAGATTGTGCAGTGTGGTCTTTTCTGTTGAGCCAGGGTAAGCTGGTTGTCTCAAATTCCATCCAGAACAACTATGGGTCTTCTAATTAGAGATTTATTAAATCGTACTGAATGTCATTGTCACAAATATCCTGGTTTAGAAGACTACTCTTCATAAAACAAAACAATTGCTTTTATCAGAGTGGTGCTACTTCAAATTCATCTTCAAAGCTGTGCTCCCTTACCCCAGCATACATATGCTGGAACAAGCTCATAAGCTTATAAAGGCATGCTGGGCAGTTGTCAGATCCTATTTTTAAACTGTTTCTGAGAAACACTTCTGCTTCCCTATCTCTGCATGGTCATAGGAAAGGCTGTACTCCATGCAGGAGCCATAATGTCTGGGCTCAGCTAACAGTCATTTTTGCACTTGAGTGTCTCCTCTTCAGAGGTAGTAGAATTGAACTGCACTGAT